GGGGGGCTCAAAGTTGGGTGCTAAAAGGTAAAATATAAATATTTGTGGTTAAAAATAGATAGGCTAAAAAAGGTGTCAAAGAAAGCCTAATTTCATTCTAAAAATAGTGTTGTCTAGAATTTCGCCTTGATAGACATTTGGGGCAAGTTCTAGCAGAATTTTATTGACTATACTTGTTGAGATCATAATACTTCTCAATTCTAACACTTTCTCAAATTTGGAGATACTCGTTCTTGCCTTCACAAAGTTATATGGCATAAATGAAAAAAATTATGTTTAAAGAATATGTAAACTTTTACTTTGAAACTTTAATATTGTACAAGAACAACAATTAAGAATAAAATAAAAGATGGATATATATATATATAGGGAGAGAGAAGAAAAAACTTGAAAGAGTGTGTAACAACACATGTTTTTATATGTAATAGACTAACTAATTTAAGACCTTATCAGTCATTTGGTTCTGGTTTAAATATAAACCAACAAATTTACCTGTGCCAACATTTTGAATTGATTCATTAAATGGTTAATCAACCAGTTACTTAGGCATACCGATCACCATGGAGTTACTCCTGCACAGGTGACTCTGTTGTTGTAGAGGCCTTCATGAGATGTTCTGGTTGTACAATAACCTGGATATTAACCAGATCAATTGATTAAGCATTTTATTACCCAAATCTATGTCGGGCTTATGAGGCTCCACTGCTTCTCCCTCAATGGCTACGGGTTTTGTATCTTAGTTCTAAGTTTAACGTCGTCAGCTCGACTTATTAATTGCAGAATTCATCAGTCTATCAAAGTAACCGATGGATATTGTTCAAAATGTCTTCCATAGTACAATTTTAGCCTATGACCATTTACCTTAAACTTGTTGTAAGCACGTGATTTTGCCCTATATGAGAATTACTCCCAAAAAATTCAAAAAATAAAATGATTTTTCTTTGGTGTGCAATTTTGTGATATTTTGTGATATTTTGAATAATTATTTGTAGTTGTCTGTGCGTGTTTATTTGCTAAATTAATAAAAAAAATACAAAAATATGTCGCATTTTGCATGTAGGATTTAATTCTACAATTGATAATAATTAAATTTGTTTTACAAAAATAAAAAAATTACAAAAATAGGCATCGTTTGCATTTTTAGCATTTAATGTCCAAATATACAATTTTATGCTTAATTAATACTTAATTGTGCGTTAATTGTTATTGGGAGTTAATTTGCGCTTTTATAACTTAATTTAGTTCTTAATAATAGTTTAAGTATTTTTA